CCTCCACTGGGAAAGCTGAATGGTGGGGGATTGCCCGGGTGGCTGCTGAGGTTATCAGCAGCAAAGGCTGCAGGGTCCTCCCACAGTGCAAGCTATGGGGCCCACAGTGGCACCACTGCTGGCTGATAGCAATTGCTTCCCCTTTCTTTGTTCCTAGAGGTATCAGGGCTCCCAGGTGTGCCATCAGCTTCCAGCCGTCCTTTGCATGTGCTTATTCTTAGCTTTTTACTCTATCCTGTTGCTGCATGTTTGGAATTGAACTCTTCAGCCCTCCCAGGATATTAGCCTTCTTGGTTAACTGTTGAATTGTTGGGTTTTGTGAGGCGTGAAGTCTGGTAACCCTTACTCTGCTATCTTGCTGACATCAGTTCCCCAGGACATCATTTTGATGATGATATTTTGAACTTTGCCCTGACACTATTATGGAATAATACTTAGGCTTGATGGGGTGAGAATTAGAGTATTTAACATATAAGTGGGATATGAGTTGTTTGGGCGACAAGGGTGACTGATGCCAGTTATGGCCTTCAAGATGACTGTCACAACACCTACCATCCTACAGTTTCCTCTAAAAGGGTATCTCTCAATGAGGTTTCCATGATGCCATATGCCTATCTCCCCCTAGTTAATCAGAATTCTGAATCTCGTATTCTTTATAATTGGATTTTCCTCTCTGTAGTTAATTTCTTCTATATGTATTCATCAAATAATATTGTTAATTTATTTGTTTAAAACCCTGTAAATGGTAATTCATACAAATAAAACCTAATTTATGAGTCTTTGTCTTTGTGCGTGGTGCTTTGTGTGTCCTCTTTAAGAAATTTCTTTCTGCACCTGTTTTTGATGTATGTTTTTGTGGTCTTTACTACAAACTTTATGATTTTGCCGTTATATTATAGTTTATGATTCATTTAGAGTTGATATTTATATAATATACAGGTGAAATGTAAAGGTCAAGATTCATTTTTATGTAATATAGATATATTATGGATCCAATACCATTACTTATTATATATTTCTCTACTGATTACTGCTCTGGTCTGAATATCTGCATCTCATCCAAGATTCCAGTTTACCCTATGCCACAATATTAGACAGTGGGGCTTTCTGGAGCTGATTATTCATGATGGTTCCATCCCTGTGAACGGGATGAACACGCAATAAAAGTAGCTTCACGCAGAGTTTGTCTCTTTTTCCCTTCCACCTCCAGCATGTGAGGACACAGCCACAAGCCACCATCTTGGAAGCTGGAGCAGCCTTCATGGGATGAAAAGATTGCCAATGCCTTTACCTTGGACTTCCCAGCCTTCAGAATTGTGAGAAAGTACATGTCTCTTGTTTTAAATTACCTGACCAAGATATTTTTCTCTTTCACTAGAAATGGTCTATGGTAACACTTTTTTTTTTTTTTTTGAGACGGAGTCTCTATCACCCAGGCTGGAGTGCAGTGGTGCGATCTTGGCTCACTGCATCCTGTACCTCCCAGGTTCAAGTGATTCCCCTGCCTCAGCCTCCTCAGTAGCTGGGATTACAGGCATGTGCCACCATGCCTTGCTAATTTTTGTACTTTTAGTAGAGATGGAGTTTCACCATGTTCGTCAGGCTGGTCTCGAACTCCTGATCTCGTGATCTGCCCACCTCAGCCTCCCAAAGTGCTGGGATTACAGGTATGAGCCACTGTGCCTGGCCCGTGGTAACACTTTTAGTGTAAATTGGGTGACTACATATGTGCAGATCTGTATTTGGATTATCTAACCCATTGAACAGGGTTAAAGTCCTCACCCTTCACCAAATCAAAATACTTTAATTAGTGTTATTTGTAGCAGGGTTTGATATTGCCTGGTGTTATTCCTTCCATTTTGTTCCTTTTTTGTTTTTTGTTTTGTTTTGAGACCGTCTTATTATGTCGCCCAGGCTGGAGTTCAGTGCTATGATCTTGGCTCATTGCAACCTCCGCCCCTTAGGTTCAAGTGATTCTCCTGCCTCAGCCTCCTGAGCAGCTGGGACTACAGGAATGTGCCACCATGCCTGGCTAATTTTTTGTAATTTTTTAGTAGAGTGAAGGTTTCACCATGTTGCCCAGGGTGGTCTAACTCCTGACCTGAAGCGATATGCTTGCCTCCCAAAGTGCTGGGATTACAGCATGAGCCACCATGCCTGACCTGTTATTCCTTTTCTCTCTTTTTTTTTTTTTTTTTTTTTGAGATAGAGTCTAGTGCTGTTCCCCAGGCTGGAGTGCAATGGTGCAATCTTGGCTCACTGTAACCTCCACCACCTGGGTTCAAACGATTCTCCTGCCTCAGCCTCCTGAGTAGCTGGGATTATAGGCATGCGCCACCACGCCTGATTAATTCTGTATTTTTAGAGGAGACGGGGTTTCTCCATGTTGGTCAGGCTAGTCTCAAACTCCTGATCTCAGGTGATATTTATTATATGTAATAAATATATATAATATATATAAATATATAGTGTGTGTATATATATAAAATACATATATATACACTATATATAGTGTGTGTTTATATAGTGTGTGTGTATATATACGTGTGTGTATGTGTGTACATATATATATAGTGTGTGTGTATGTGTATATATACTTTGTAGTGCTGAGATTACTGGTCTGAACCACCGCGCCTGGCCACCATTGCTTCTTGAAGTAGATTTCATAGCACTTCTTTTGCCTTTCTGGTTTCCTAAACCATTATATCTTCTGATCTTTGAAAAGTTGTAGCTTAGACATGGATTTCCCATATTAGGAAAAACTTTCTATTTGGGTTACCTACAATAGCTTCTCTTTTGTTGTATGAACCTGGGCCAATGCTGTAACCCAGAGTCCTCATATGTAATGACTCTTTTATGAAATTAGGAGAGGCATTGCCATGTCTGCTGCTGCGGCTGAGGAGGATAAAAGAAACTAAGGTGTAGAGACACTTCCTTTACCCCTTCTATGAAAACTGCTCAGCGACCTTCAGAGTGTGGCTGTGTCTGAGAAACACTCTCAGCAGATGGAGGCACCAGGAAAAGCAGCTGGGGCTGCTTCCTTGGGGAGCTTATTGGGTTTGTAACACTCTAAGAGGGTAACTTTTACACTGATCAATAATAAGAAGTTGCAGCAACTTCAGGCTGCAGGCTGCTGAAGATGAGAATATAATCTGTCCTGGATCCACTGCCACATAACTGCAATGGGACCCAGGTTTGCAAATTGGGTGTGTCATAGATCAGGAGCTCAGAAGCTTTTCCTGCCATCTCTTAGTATCAGGTTAAAACATGGTTAATGCCTTGCCTGACTTGCCTGTCATGTGATAGTGACACTTACGTAGAGAGGAAGACAGCGAGGATGGAGACTCGGTCATCTGGATGTCACATATAGCACCTGTGATGGAAAACGTAAAACTATTAACACTATTAACCATGTTATGAGAGGACTTTCCTGAATAGCAGGGTAGTAGTGACCACACTGGCTGAGTAAATTCCTATTGTTCTCCTTACTTGTTTGGGAGCCAGAGCAGCAGGAGCCCTGGGAGCTAAGCAGGGACTCTCATGTCCATGCTGTGTCTTGACTGGTGCTGACTCTGGCAAAGGGTGTGACCAGCCTGTGCACAAGTCTTCAGGAATTTGGCTCTGCTTTTTGCAAGATAAAAATTTGCACAGCTGCAAGAATGACTTTGTCTCCATAATATTGCACAGGCCTAGTGTCTCCCAGGCATCATAAGATTGATCAGGCCTGCATACACTAGTCAGCAGAGAACATGTTTCTCTCTGGGGGCCACAGAACAGAATCTGTCTAGTGTCTTGCAAAGAGATTACTCTTCTACTCTTTTCATAGTTCGTGACCTACTTTTCTTGCTAGGTTCCTGTCTAAGACCTGGCTTCTTGGAGAAGCACATCTCCAGAACATGCAATAAATTTTAGAAGTGTCCTGCATTTGGTATTGATGAATATTACTGAGGCCAGAGGGATTTCTTTTCTCTGATCCTCTAGAGCCCTTGATGTTGTAAATCATCAGTACTATCATCCAGAGATGCAATGAGGTAAAAGAAAGATGGATGGATTCATAGATGGATGGATAGAAGGACAGATTTATTTATTATAAAGTAAGAAAAAGGAAAATGTTAACATATAATATATGAAAATAATGTAATGCTTTGCAAGGAAAGGTCCAGTCACTGGGTAAATGGCATGGCTAACCTCTTATCTCAAACATGTGATTGTCTTCCTCTATTTCTACATTTTCTTTCTTTCTTCTTTCATCTAGGCCAACATCAGAAACTTTCTACCTCCACTTCTGAAAAGTCTCAGCTACTTTCTAGCTCTGTGTGCCATCATGCATTTCCATTTCCTGAGCACCTTGGATTAATATGTGTGCCTTCCACATTCTTAAGCTAATTTCTTCTGGAAGCTGAGATGTTATCTAGACCCAGTGCCCACATCTACTCTTGAATCTACTCTTGAATCTACTCTATTCAGTAAACCGTATATCTCTGTATTACCAATCTTTTCCAGTTTTTAAGAGAAAGCAATTCTTAACGTCTGGGTTTATGCATTTGACCAAAGCAGGTTCAGAAAGAAAACCGTGCACCAAAATGAAGGGGAAACCAAAATATTGCACAGGGTGTGAAACCCACACAGTATGGAAAGGACACTTGTTGTGCAGTGGAGAGGGAATCCCACCAGAGATGTTGAAGCTATAGCAGAGGGAGGAGGGTATCCCCACGTAGGTGCAGGATGTGGGGCACCATCCTCCCACTAGCGCAGATGTCACAGCTGAAGCAGGATGAGCAGGGCCCTTCAAAAGGGGTAAAGCCATTGGTAGTAGCATCAGTGCCCATGTAGATTGAGAAGGTCACCCATGCAGGAGTCAAAATTAACAGTGAGCTGGCAAAGGATATCAGAGCTAATGCAGGTTATGAGGCAGAAGAGGGAAGCTGTCTGCAAGGAGAGTGTAGGTGGCAATGACAGCAGGAGATTAGTGTTGCACAGAGACGTTGATCCCATAAGTCAGTGTAGTAAGGATAATTAGAGCCAAGATACCCAGGGAGAAATGTTAGAAATATTTTAAAAGAGCATACTAGAATCAACTCTATGATTCTTGACTGTAGCTGTATCAGTGACAATTCATGGTTTATGTAGATATAGGTAAAAACATAGATGAATAGATGATGATGATAGATAGATGATAGATAGACAATTGATAGATCATTTTCTCTAGAAGAAATGACACATCAGTTCCACTGCATACATTTAGTGTGTAGATCTTATTTTTCTGAATACCAATTTCTACTAAAAGGAACCAGTAATCTTTGGAGAAATGGTTGATGTCAGGTCTAAAATAGGGGAAGTGGAAGATGAGCCTGTACCATGTACTGCCAGAAACTAAAAAAGTGTCAGAGAATGACGGGGTAAAAACAGCAGGTAGTTAGAGCCAGTGTGAATGAGGCTCCCATTGGACAAATCAGAGGAGTGTTGACTATGAAAGTAAATGATGATGGTAGCAGATTATAACCCATCTAAGAAAATACAGATCCATGTCTACATTTCAATTAGAAGGAGGATATTCATGAAGCATCAAGAACATATCCACAAATTCTTATCTCTTTCAAGGAAAACAAGAGTGAAGGTGCAGGGAGAAGCCTGGCAGACACCCCTTTCAGCAGGAGTCAAACTGAACCTCGTCAGTCACGGGGCAGATGGAAATCACGCACATCCCAGTAGGATGCAGTGAGAACACAGTATCGCTTCTGGATCTTCCTGCAACAGGCACGCTAAACAGAGTTGAATCTTGTAGAAAATTCAACCAAATTTAGTTGACAATCTGCATGGTAACTGGTGTGTAATCTTCAAAAGCAATAAGTTTATAAAGTCCAAACAAGGACTGTGAAACTGTTCTAAATGGAAGACGACTACAGAGGTACAAGCCACCAAAGGCAACCCATGAGTCATTTTGTTACAAAAGACATCATCAGAACAATTAAGAAAAGTTGAAATAAACCTGAGGATTAGATGGAGTGATACACAAATAATGATACCCCGATTTCACAAATGTGTTGGGTTACGTAGGAAAATGTCTTGTCTAAAGGAAATACATAGCAAAGTCTTAAAGGGTGGGGCTATGAGGTCATCAAGTTACTCTCAATGGATTTGGGGAAAAAAGTGTTACTTTGTACTATACTTACAAACTTTCTGTAAATGTGAAATTGCTTCAATATTTTAAAAATAAAAATGGCAGCTGTTAAGAGCATGCCCAAACTATTCTAAAGTATTTTGTAATGGCACTGAGCCATACCTGTTACAGTCATAAGACACGGAAATTTACTCTAGATGCACAAAGATAACACTATGCTTTCTCAAAGGTGCGTAGTTCACAGACAAATTATTATCTGAAGATACAGGTCTCTTTAGTATCCATCAACTAAGTGGCCATCCTATTCTTGGTTTGGGGACCTCAATGGTCTACCTCCTCGCTACCAATGTAACTTGTTTGCTTTGGTTTGTTTGAGACTGGGTCCTGCTCTGTCCCCTACACTGGAGTGCAGTGGCAAGATCACAGCTTACTCCAACCTCAACCTCTTCAGCTTAAACAAACCTCTTGTCTCAGCCTCCCCAGTAGCCAGAACCACAGGTGTGTGCCACCGCTCCTGGCTAATTTTTTCATTTGTTGTGGAGATGGGGTCTCCATGTGATGTCTAAGCTAGTCTCAAAGTGCTGGGCTCAAGTAATTCTACAGTCTTAGCCTTTCAAATGCTGGGATTATAGGTGTTAGCCACTTTGCCTAGTGCCTTGTAACTTTATTTCTCTCAGCTCATCAGCATGAAAGTTCTGACTAAGGATGCCAAATTTGATTATCAAAATATAAAAATCAAATCAAATAGTTTCTTTCATCAACCAAATAGGATGGTCAAGAAACTGAAGCCTGAATTAGGATAAATGTTTAACCCTGAATACCCCAGAATCACTGAGGATCAATTCTCTTCAAAGTAGGAGGAAGACAAGATCACATCACCTGGGAAAATTGCTGAGTTTCAGGGAAGACGTGGAGGAAGGGAGGATGAGGCTGGAGACAAAGCTCTGCTGCCAACTCATCAAGGTCGGGGAGTCCTCAACAACCTGCTGGATCATAAAGGGGCCCTGTGGACACTGACAGAGCATGGTGGTTGGAGGTCTCCAATCTTGGATTTCAACGGAGCTATCGAGTGTCTCAGTAACAACGCATCAATCAAAGCTACATGCACACCCAACAAGAGGGGCCTCTTGCTCTGGGCCCCAGAAGTGAAGGCCCGTCACCTGGCTCTCCTCCAGTCTTTCCCACAGAGACTGTGCTAATATAGAGCCAATTTTCTTCTACATCACACCCTGGTACTTGGGGCCCTGAAATAACAAATTCAAATGCTCTAACCCTAACTTCCAGGGAGTTGGCCCTTTCTCTGGGCTCCTTCTCTTGAGAGTAGCCATGCAGTAGGCATTCCTCCTCAAGCACAAAGTGAGGCCAGGTTTCTGCTGCTGAGAAGCAGGATGGCATGTGACTGTGTGGGAACTGTCTGTATATGTGTTCAGGAGACCTTGTGTGGTGTGGGAAAAGCAAGAGATGAGGGAATGGCAGTAAAGTCCCAGTTGCAACCCTAAAGCATGACCTGCTATCCCCACACTGCCAGGTGCTGGTGAAGAACCTTGAGGAACGACAAATTTCTAACTTCAGACTTGGGCTTCCAGATATTCAACCTGTAGCCAAAATAGATTAGAATGGGCTAGATTTACACTCCTCCCTGGATTAACTAAAACACAGCACAAAATACATGCAACAATTGTTTTCAAGAAATTGGACATTAGAAATTAAGGATATTGAGCCCAGAAGGTTTTAAACGAAAGGGGATGATATTTGGGTTGATCCGTCTGAGACCCTGAGGAGAGTTTCCAGAGCATTGTGCAGGAAAAGGAAATCCATGAGGTACCTGGGAGTGTCCCTGAATAGAGGAAAAGGATTGGTGTTCCAGAAAGACAGAGAAACAGAGGAGGGAGTTCAGAGAGAGCCCAAGCTATCCCCGGATGCTTCCCTCAGTATTCCTCAGAGCACTGATGAGTACATGCATGTGGAGACCCTACCTAAGGGTGCAGAAAGACTGACTAAAGGATTACAGGCAGATTCTTCAGTCTCCTCTTTTCGCGTCATGAGATACTGCAGCTGACTGAGAACCTGGTGGCTCCTCTGAGCTAATTTGTCACGCACTTTTGATGACATGAAGGTTATTCATGTTGGCCTTCTCTAGTAGGTTCACCTGGAAAGCATTAAATATAGCAGGAAAAAAGGAGGCAACAATGCCCTCAGTGTAGAGTGGTCATTAGTATTGGTTACAAATGTCAACTGCACTAAGTATAAATGGATTCATTATGGGATATTAAATAGCTCAAAAATTGTTGGGAAGCCTTAAAGAACAGGCCCTAGGCAGAGCGTCTGGAGCAGTTACAAAAACTGCGCTGCCAATTCAGTCTGCGGAGGAGCCCTTACTGCCTGAGATCCCATGGACATTTCAAAAAATTTGAAGTGAAAGAAAACACATATCAACATTTGTGGGATGCAAGAAGGCATTGAATTTATAACCTTGAATTTCTAGAAATATTCATGCATTTTAGCAAATACATTTTCAAACCAATCCCCTGAGTTGCCACCCTGACATACGAGTACAACAAGAGCAACTTGTGCTCAAAATATTTTATTCTTAAAAATGTGGGCATGTGATGAGCACATGTCTAGTATTGCAGTAAAGAAGTCACATCAGCCTGGAAATAAAAACCCACATTAGCAGCTTCACAAGAGAAAGTGGATGGGCAGGGCGAGTAAGTGTGCAGAGAAAACTGGAAGATAGAAAAAGTGAAAATAGGAATCATGTAATATTAATATGGGCTGTGCAAGTGTGAGACCCCTGTGAGCCCTGACTTGCTCAAAAGCAAAAATCGTGCAGTGCAGACAGTTTTCCTTCCTCCAGAGGGTGGGTGAGAGTGGGGTCATTTGGCAAAAGGAGGAAAAAGTGCCCTGAAGGTCATCAGAGGCGGCAGGTGAGGTCACGACCCACTAGGATCCCCTCCCAGTGACGTGAACGAGCATCCCTGAAGCCATGAGGACAGCAGGGAACTTCATGGCTGCTCCAGAGAGGACATGGCAGCCACTCCCTGGAGAACCTGTGGGACCTGAGCACCCAATATTTGGAGGAAAGAAGAGTCTCTGGGAGGCTTCCCGGAGGGCCCTGACCCTGTTCGCACAGAAGCGGAGCCCATGCCTGTAAGTGAGGACTCATGGCCTCTTTTTCAAAGACTGTCCAGCCATCTTCGCCTGAGCCCACCAGCTGTGGGCTCCATCTCTGGGCGCTGCAGTTACTGGTGCTGCACTGAGAGGCTGAGCATACTAGGGAGGCTGTGTTTGAGATTCTCAGGCTGTGCAGAGTCCTGGTGAGTGTCCCGCTCACAGGAGAACATGCAGCATCTCCAGGCTGCAAACTGGTGCCTGTGATGAAGAAATGAATAAAATTTTGATTGTATGTGTGTCCTTACTGGTTGGTATGTGTAAAAATATACTCTGGAGACTTGTCACAAATTTGGTCTTACACACCACTTGCGAAAAACCTAATTGTTACTGTCTATATGGTCTGTCCGGTTAAAGCTACAGATTTAATTATACTTGTCATGGAATCCATTATCTTTAATAGAAAATCGTCTCTAATATAACACACTTCCTTAAATCTGGATTACTTTATCCTGTTGATTGTAACATTGTTTTACTTTAGTCATACCATGCCACAGCAGGCAAATGACAGGCTCATTACTAATTCACAGATATACATAGAGCACTATTATAAACTGACTCTCTGGAAAGCGTATATTTTTTATATCACTATTACAAGAATGTGGGAATCAGGCTTATGTCCAAGTACTGACCAGATACAGTGAAAATAATACATTCCACTTATTGTTTGAAAATATTTTCCTTTTTTTTTTTGACCAAATAGTACCAACGTAGTGACTTCTAAAATTTACTTGTGTTAAAACAATGGAAGGAATCTTCATTCTCAGGTACAGTGAAGTAGATTATAGTGGAAAGGCCCAAACAACCACTGCTAAAAGTACAAACCATTTAAAATAACGGAATACCAAAGTTAGACTTTAATAATGTTAGAAAGCAGTGGAAGGAATGAGGAGTGGATGATCTGAAATTCCATACTAAAAAGAACCTTTCATTGTTGAGTTGACACACCTGACTTTTTGTCCTCCTGCCACAGCCGCCAAGTTTGCCTACGGACACAAGCACTGACTTGGCACAGGCAAAGGAGCTCTCCTGGGAAAGGAGAATCCAGCTGAGCCTTGGGGGTTGCACAGGGCAGCCTCTATATGTGCCCCGTGCTTTCCATGGCACACGTGTTGAGGTCTGAGTCAACAGCCAGGGATGGAGGTGCTGGGTTAGAAAGACATAAAACTCCCACAGATACAATGTGCTCCCCCAATCCCCAAGGCTGCACAGAGCATCCCGAATACATGTCTGAGTCATGGACACCGGTCTCCACCCCCACTGCCCGCCCCCTGCTGGTGTAGATCCTGCTGGGCCTTCTGTTCAGCATGTCAGTGCTTGTGACATCTCCAGACCCAACCAGCAGTCTCTAGGGCCAGAATGAGTTTCAGATGCTCTGTTTGGCTGTGTTGGGTTGACAAGATATGAGCAACATGACCTCAGGTCTCTTTCCACAGCTATTTCAGTAAGCCTTTGGTGGTTACAGATCTAAAACGCTTCCAAAAGCACTATTTTCCCAGGAATTTCGCAGTGATGCAGGCTCCACCCAGGAAGCCAGGTAGTGGTGCCTTCAACTCTGGGCTTCTTCACAAGAAACATATCAGGTCTCCTGGGTCCACATCATGAACTGCCAACTCCACCACCATCCACATCACTACCTATCAAAGGCCAAGGGCAGTTTAACTGAAATTGACCTCTCCTGTGTTTCTGCCATGCTTTCATCCCTGCTGTTTGCCCAGTCTTAAATTCTTAACATTTTGAAGGAAGAATGTTCACATCATTCTGTAGTTTTCCAGTTTTCTATGGGAAAAATTACATACTCTACATTTTCCAGTACACGCTTTTTATTTTTGAAAACAACCTTTGGAATTTCAGGGACTTATTTTTTATTTTCTATCATTAAGAGGTAACTAAGACTAATTAAACAATTTTAGCATTAGGATGTTGTATCTTCTATGAATTTACAAAAATCTATTTGATACTCCAAAACCAAGATTTTTATTGACTTTCCTCAGCCAGTTTCCTCTTAGGATAGCTAGTGTAGAATGCTGTCTCTACTGTCTTTTGGGAGTGGGAGGATAGGGGGATCAGGAAGTTAGAAAACTGGCAAAATATCAATATTAAATATTATAAAATGTCCTCTAAACAATATGCCCAAAACTACCAAACCCAAAGATGTATCCAACATGGATGGTCCTATTCTGTGTCAATGGTCTGTCTGTTCTGCTGATTACATTTAATTGGCAAATGTACACAAGGCAGGGAGCGTTAGGGTGAGCTTTCATTCTCCTCTCCCTTCCGTCTTGCTTGTTTATTCCCAGGACATCTGGACCTCTCACTCTCCTGCTGCTTATGACAGTAAAGGTTGTGGCAACTGCCAGGGCATAAAGGAGTGGTGCCTGCGGTGTGGCTGGGCTCTCAAAGTCCAGAGTCCTCAGCTGTGAATTGTCCCCTGCTTCTCCAGCATCTCCCTCTTACACAGATTCTGAGACCCTATTGAGCTGCTCCCCAGTCAAGCACCACATGTGGGCAGCTGGGCCACCCCATAGGGAGGTTTTTGTTCAGGACTGTACCACTGTGGGAGGAACCTGTGTACCTTGCACGCAGTAATAAACTCCAACATCCTCAGCCTCCACTCTGCTGATTTTCAGTGTGAAATCTGTCCCTGCCCCACTGCCGCTGAATCTGTCTGGGACCCCAGAGTCCCGGTTAGAAACCTGATAAATTAGGCGCCTTGGAGGTTGGCCTGGCTTCTGCTGTAACCAATTCAAGTAGGTTTTTCCATCACTGTGTACAAGGCTTTGACTAGACCTGCAGGAGATGGAGGCCGGCTGTCCAAGAGTGACAGACAGGGAGAGTGGAGACTGAGTCATTACAACATCCCCACTGGATCCTGAAATAAATACAAAGAAGAGCAAGGTTATGTAGATACTTTATGCATCATTTTCATAAATTTTGATTTGTTGTTTGTTTCAGGCTATATATTTATTTGTTCATATTTCAAGAATATAAAATTTCAAAATGAAACTCAAGGGATCCAAGGCACAAAGTGGTCTCCAGAAGACCCCACACCATCCCCTCTTTCTGTGTCAGTCTTCCCCAGTACACAGATCCTTGTTTCTTCTTGAATCTTCCTCACTCTCACAGATCTGAACATCACAAGCCCCATCCTGGAGGACAAGATGTGCACGTGCAATACATGAAAGGAACACACATAGGAGTGTAGTGAGGCCCCCACAGCTCACTGCTCATAGGAGGCTGTGGGACCCCCAGAGCTCACCATTGCACCCCATTCTCCTCCCCCATCTCCCTTCTGCCCTTACCAGGGAGGCAGAGCATTAGCAGCCCCAGGAACTGAGCAGGGAGCCTCATGGTGAACTGAGGAGTCCTGATCAGTCAAGATAAGCTTAGAGCTGAGCTTTTATCTCAGACTACAAAGGGAAGGTCCTCCCTAGGGCACAATATGCAAATCACCTGGTGGGTGCAGTGGGGTGGAAAGAGCCAAGGGGAGGGTGGGAGCCTCTCTTGTGAGCAAAATGACTTCTCTGTGCAAAATATCTTCTCTGTTCAGAGGGAAACCAATAGGCATAAAATCTATGCTGCCCATGTGGGAGAAATTGAAGTATTTCCTTCTGTCTTCTCTAATAGATTTCTTGTTTCATAGCACTTTCCCAGGCACATTTTATACTTCTTGTTAATAAGGCCAAATTTCCACAAATATTTACTAATTCTTATGTTTTTGTTCATTTTTGTCTAAAAGAGTTCAGATTTGGCCCTTTCAATTTTTAAAAAATTGAAATAAAACACACACAAAGTAAAGGACAGAAATGTTAAATAATACCAATGAATAAAGTTTTACGTATATTCTCCACCCAGATTCAACTGTAAAATACTTCAGAATCTCCAGATTCTTCCCTCATGCACCTACCTTTCAGGAAACAGCCGTTCCCCAATTCCAATGAAGGAAACTGGCATTCTGAAGTCTGTCCAGATAGATTGGATTTCTCTACATGAAACCTCATAGGAATGGAAGTAAACACGTTTGTTTGGTTTAGCTCTTTTTTGTTGTTGTTGCTCCCTTAGTACTTTTGAGACCTTCCTTCCTCCCTATGGATTCAAGTTACTGTCTGCTATCATTTTTTGTGAATCTGAAGAATTTCCTAGAGAATTTCTAAAGAGCATGTCTTTAAGTAATGATTTCTCTTCATTTTTGTTTATCAAGAAATGCTTTTCCTTTACCTTTATTTTGAATGCATACTTTCAGTGGATACTGAATCCTTGATTTTTTGTTTTGTTTTGTTTTGTTTTCCAGCATTTAAATACGTCATTCCACTGTTTTCTAGCCTCCTTTGGGCATGATGAAAAGTTAGCTGATGGCTTTATCACTGTATTTCTGTATGTAGAGAGTCATTTTATGTATGATGCATTTGAGATTTTCTCCTTGTCATTGGTTCAGCATTTTAATTATAATATGTATAGTTATGTGTATCATTGTGTTTGTCCTAAATAAGTTCTTTCAATTTTTTCCTCTATAGATGAATGTGTTTCATTGCTTCTTGAAAGCTTTTGTCATCCCTCCAAATATTTTTAGCCACTTTCTCTCTGTCTTCTCCTTTCTGACTCATTGCACATTTCCTGGGGTTCTTCACATTGACTGATAAACCTCTAAGGTCATGATTATTTTTCTTTAATTATTTTCTTTCTTTTTCAGATTTGATAATTTATATTAAACTATCTTCAGTTTCATTGATGCTTCTGCCAACTTAAACTCCTGTTACCCTATCCAGTGAATTTTCCATACTGTTTTTATACTTTTCAACTAGAATTCTTATTTGGTCCTTTTCCATAGTTTCCCTTTCTCTATTGAGAGACCCCATTCTTTGAGTCATTGTCTTTATGTTTTCCTTTTTCAGTCCTTGATCATAGTTCTAAATATTCTTTGAAGCATTTATGTGACAACCACTTGAAACTCTTAGCAAAATCCAGTATTTAGGAACAGTCAGAGTCAGCTTCCACTCACTGATTTATCTCAATATGGTTTATGACTTTGTCTTTCTTTTCAGGAATTTTTATGGAAAAATGAGCATTGTAGATAATATATTTTTGTACATGTCTCAACTAATACATAATTCTGGATTCTGTTTTATTTTTCTAAGAGTGTTGAATTTCCTTTTAATAGTTTGCCTGGACTTATGCTGCAGAATCTATACCTTACTAGCTTTTTGGCCATTGATATTTCCGCTTTGTTGCCTTTTAAGTTTTAGCCAGAAGCCGTACCTGTGGCTGCACAGTTTAGTAATTACCAGTAACTTGGGCATTTTTTTTGCTCAAACTCCTTGAGCTCAATCATCTACTTTCTGCCAATGTGTATGTGTGTGGCTTGAAGCGGGAACATAAAAGACACCTCCTTCTTTTTTATTCACTGGGCCCACTTGGGTCTCTTCACTCAAATATGCAATTGCTAAGTCACATCTGCTCATTCTAAGAATGCGTGCAGGGATGATCTCTACAATTCTATGACTGCATGGTTTCCAGTAATCCATTATCAAGTTTTAACTGGTGTACCACTCTCCCCAACCAGGGTCATCACCTCGGACTTGCAAAACTCCAGGCTTTTTCTGGGCATTTCCTGCAGAGTTCAGCACCATTAGCTGAAAACACTGAAGGATCTTGTCCTACTCTCCATCCCAGCTCAAGTCAATCCCCTTGGGCAACAAGCTTCCAGTTGTTGCTGCCATTTCAGTTGGTAAAACTAGACTTCTAAAATTCCTGTTGATTAAGCTAGGGTGAAAAAAAGCAGTTCCAGGTAAAAGGCCATAGACTTTTCTTATCTGTTAGTCCGAAGTGCACCATTTTGTAAGCCACCCGTCATTTTGTACACCTCGGTCAAAGTGAAACATTCCATGGGGGTTGGGACTGTGAGAGACATCCTGCCTAACCACCTGACTACAGGGACATCCCTCTCATCTTCTGCTGGACAGTGTGCCCAAGAAACATTCTTGTCACACCCTGCTGGGCAAAGGGTACAAAGAATATCCTTGGCATAACTGCCTGACCACAGGAATATCTTATTAACGTCCTGTCAGGCAGCAACTCATACTGCCCAGAACCCTCCCGCCCATACCTGTAAGTACCCCAGCCTGTAAGCGGCAGTGGCTATTAAGCTAGTCCCCCACCTCCACAGTCTTGTGCTGGACATAAAACCTGCTTTGCTATAGAATGGTTGAACTAATTTACATTCCCACTAACAGTGTAGAAGTTTTCCTCTTTCTCCACAACCTTACCAGCATTTGTTGTTTTTTGATTTTTTTTTTTTTTAAATCTGAGAAGGGATATTGTTCTGTCACCCAGGCTGGAGTGCAGTGGCACGATCTCAGCTCACTGCAGCCTCCGCCTTCCAGGTTCAAGCGATTCTTGTGCCTCAGTCCCTCAAGGAACTGGGATTTCAGGCATCCACCACCACCGCTGGCTAATTTTTGCATTTTGAGTAGAGATGAGGTTTCACCATATTGGACAGGCTAGTCTTGAACTCATGACCTCAAGTGATCCACTTCCCTCGGCTTCCCAAAGTGCTGGGATTACAGGTGTGAGTCACCATGCCTAGCTTATTGTTTTCTGACTTTTTAATAATCACCATTCTCACTGGTGTGAGATGGTATCTCATTGTGTTTTTGGTTTGCATTTCTCCAATGATTAGTAATGGTGAGCTTTTTTTCATATGATTATTGGTATCATGTATGTCTTTTTTTAAGAAGTGTCTATTCATGTCCTTTGCCAGCCTTTTAATGGGGTTGTTTATTTTTTGCTCTAAATTTGATTAAGTTCCTTATAGACTCTGGATATTAGACCCTTGTCAGAAGAATAAATTGCAAAAATTTTCTCTCATTCTTAATGTTGTCTGTTCACGCTGAGATAGTTTCTTCTGCTGTGCAGAGGCTCTTTGGTTTAATTAGATCGCATTTGTCAATTTTTGCTTCAGTTTAATTTGTCAATTTTTGCTTTTGTCAATTTTTGCTTTTAATTTAATTTTGTCTCGTCATTTGTCAATATTTGCTTTTAGTTTAATTAGATCACATTTGTCAATTTTTTTGTTGCAAATGCTTTGGGCATTCTCGTCATGAAATCTCTACCCATATCTATATCCTAAATGGTATTGCCTAGATTTTCTTCTAGGGTTTTTATAGTTTGGGGTTTTACATTTAAGTCTATAATCCATCTTGAGTTCATTTTTGTATAAGGTGTAAGGAAGGGGTTCGGTTTCCATTTTCTGCATATGGCTAGCCAGTTCTCCCAGCATTATCTATTAAATAGGGAGTACTTTCCCCATTGCTTGTATTCATCAGGGTTGTTGAAGATCAGATGGTTGTAGGTCTCCAGCATTTTTTCTGAGTGCCCTATTCTGTTCCATTTTTCTTTGTCTCTTTTTGTACCAGCACTATGCCGTTTTGATTAATGTAGCCACATAGTTCTATTTATCATATGACTAAATATCATTTTCTTGCTACGATTTGAAACTTACTCATAGTATATGGAAGTACATCCAAGTATATTCTGAGGCCATTACTTCACTGACAAAATTCTGAGAGTCGGGATATGTGCCCACACTAGGATGTCACCTGTCACTTCCCCATCATCACTATCATTCTGGAAGCACATTTGCCAGAAACCATTTCCCTTCTCTGGTTTTTGGTAGAGTTGCCCAGTGAGGGGCCCACCCTGAGATTGAGAAGTAAGAAGGGGAAGATTCAATATTATCCATCAGCACCTGCTACAAGACATTTGGACAGAGGTGAGGACTGCAGAAGCACCTGGTGAAGTCCTCCAGGCAGCTGAGAGCATCTGCACTCCCACCCATGGGCTTCTCAGAAACGTCTAAAGACCACACGATTGGCAATTGTACCTTCTCTGTCAGATGCATTCTGGATTCTGGAAGAGAATTCCTCTTTTCTAGTATTTACATCTTTGACTACTATACCCGTAAGCCTTTAAAAGGTTATAGTTTAGATTCTCACACCTTGTGTTAAAAAAAAATCCTACTTGGAATACCTAGAGTGGCTCATTTTTGCTGTATGAATTCCAACTGATGCCACAACTCAGACTCCTCAGGTGTAATCCTTTCTTCTCAATGAAATCAGAAGCATTGCCCTGTCTGCGCTACCGGGGATTAGGACAAGGAAAGACAGCTATGAGTAAGTGGGCCTTCATGGCTCTTTTACAAAAACTCTCCAGTGACCTTCAAAGTGTGACTGCGATTTGAGAAACACTCTCAGCAGGTGGAGGCACCAGAAGGGGCATCTGGGACCACTGAGCCTCACACATCTGCTCCCCTGGGTGATTTATGTTATGACTTGTAACACTGTGGGAGGGAAATTATCATACTGTTGACAGTAATATGTTGCAATATCTTCAGGCTGTAGACTGCTGATGGTGAGAGTATAATCTGTCCCAGATCCACTTCCACTGAACCTTGATGGGACCCCTGTTGCCAAACTGGATGCATAATAGATCAGGCGCTTAGGGGCTTTCCCTGGTTTCTGCTGATACCAATTTAAATAATTGCTAATGTCCTGACTCGCCTGGCAAGTGATGGTGACTCTGTCTCCTACAGATGCAGAGAGGGAGGATGGAGACTGTGTCATCTGGATGTCACATCTGGCACCTGTGGTTGGAAACATAAAAACAAATATTCATACTATTAATCATATTATAGGGAGGTTTCCATGAAGATTCAGTCTGTACCGAACACACTGGCTGAATAAATTCCTGCTGTTCTCCTTCCTTACCTGGGATCCAGAGCAGCAGGAGCCCCAGGAGCTGAGTGGGGACCCTCATGTCCATGCTGTGTCCTGACTGGGACTGACTCCTGCACAGGTTGTGACCAGTCTATTAAGAAGTCTTCAGGGCAGGGGGCTGTGCTCTGGGAACATGCAAATCAGCAGGGGATGGGGCAGGCTGGGCACAGCTGCACGGCTGGCAGATCTCAGTTACTCAGCACAGGGGCAGTATCCCCAGAGTCCCAGGTCAGACCAGGGCAGCACAGATTTGTCTGTAAATAAGTGTTTCTTCTTGGGGGCTGTTTTGTTACAAAAGACTTTTCTGAGTTAATTGTCAAAATTGGAAATATTCCTGAGGACTAGATGGAGAAATATAGTTTATTCGTGCATGGAGATTATTTTTAAAAAATACAGTATGCACTTAAATGGAAGAAAGCACTTTGTGATGTACTTGCAACACTTCTGTTAGCACGAAAGTATTCTCTTTTTGGAATGGAAATTAAATAGAAATGTATCTAGATTGCAATCCCTGTCTACACGCTATCCTTTCCCTTTCACTGTACTGCTGCTGACTTCCAGTGGCCATCTTCGCCCCTCACTGCTCTTTCTGAAGCTGGAGAAGGCAGCTCTGCCTGCATGCATAGCAGACCACAGGGGCTCAAATGAGCCTCTCTTTGGACAGTGTTATGATTTTCCTGTGTCCCTCAAAACCCATCTGTTGTTAAGTTCATCTCAATGCAATGGAATTGGGAGGTGGGACCTAATGGGAAGGGTTTAAGTCATGAGGTCTCTGCCCTCATGAATGGATAAATGCCACTCTAAACAGGGCTTGTGCTATGGAATAGAACTGCAGTCCACTCACTCAGTTCAGTGAGATCAGATATTCACACCGAGTTTGCAGCAGGAGAAAGTAAGTGTTTGTTTGTTTGTAGGACATCAGGTAAAGAGAATCTGGCAGCTAAGACTCAAATCCTGGACTCACTGATGGCTTGCAAGTAAGGGTTTTATAAGGTAGGAGTAAATTTCAGGAAAGTAGAAATTACAGATAAAATTGAAAATTAATACATGGAGGTCACATATTGGTTTTAGCCTAAAAGGGCAGGACATCTTGAAGCAGGGGCTTACAGATAAAGAGTAGATTACAAGAGTTCTAAATTTGCAATTGGTTAAGGAAGAAAAGCTTTGTTTAAAAATTTGGATTCAGCAGAAGAGAACATTAGCTCAGGTTTATGGATATGACTTTTACCAGGCCCCTCTGTAAGATATTTAGAACAAAGCACCATGGTCAGAGCTCAGTCCCCAGTTCCCCCTTTTGTGAGGTCCATGTGTTGGCCTATTCATTTGGAGGGGGTCTTGTTTTCTCAAAAACACCTCAGAGACATCTATTACAATGTCATCTTCAGTTTCTATAGGGGAAGCCACCATTCTGTGAGTCTAACTTATTTAGCTATTGTTTTAGGTTATTACTTCCTTGCTTATCATGTTACTTACTTACTTCTTAAGGCTAGGTAGGTGCTTGAAATTTACTTTGAAGAGACTCAAGATTTTCTATTCTTTCCGTTCTTGGAGTGTGGGGGTTGCAGGTTCCTGAGAGTGAGTCTCTGCTCTTTCCCACTTGTGGGAGCAAGCTTTCTCTCTCTCTCTTTTCTTCTCTTCTGTCATGTAGGGCATGGACTTCCTTCCTTCTGGAGGACTCAGGATTCATAATGCCATCTTGAAAGTAGATAAACCGAACCCTAATCTGATAGTACCTTGATCTTACACTTCCCATCCTCCAGAAATATGAGAGAATAATTGTCTGCTCTTTATCAATTACAGTTTTGGACATTCTGTTATACAAAGACACAACAGACTAACCGAGGCGACCATCAATAGATGAGAACAGAAGTACGAGTATACACACCCCAGCTCTCTCCTCTCAAATGGAATAGCCCAGAGGCATTGTCCCCATGCTTCCACATGGGATGGAGCTTCAGTCATCCTAAGAGTTAGGTGACTTTTGGGGTAGACTGTTGTCACCCATCCTCTATTTCCTGCTACACTTTCCTCCATCCCTCCCAGTGTAAATAGGCTGCCTGCACACAGTTCCTTCTTGTTGGTGAACCCAGTTCAAGGTGGAACAAATCCCTATTCTTGGAAAAAGGTATCTCTGCTCTAAATTCTTATCACTTTTCCTTTCTTGGTGCACAAGAAAATCCAGTAAGCCCTTAATTTCCCTTCACCAACTATCTTGGATTTGATTTATGCAGTCGATTTCTTCTGACTCACAAAACAAAAAGGAGCCTTTAAAAACACCTACCCACAGCCAGGTGCAGTGGCTCACACCTGTAATCTCAGCATTTTCAGAGGCTTAGATGGGCAGATTGCTTGAGCCCAGAAGTTCGAGACCAGCCATGGCAACATGGTGGCAAAACTCCATCTCTACGAAAAACACAACATTTAGCCAGGCTTGGTGGCACGTTCCTGCAGTTCCATTTATCAGGAAGTTGAGGTGGGAAGATTGCTTGAGCTCAGGAGGTTGAGGCTGCAGTGAGCTGTGATTGTGCCAATGCATTCTAGCCTGGTCCACAGAGTGACATCCTGTCTTAAGAAACAAAACAATACAAAAAAATTCCACAATGCTATATACCATGGATTCCACACTGGAGGCAGTGGAATAAATAGGCCAGAGGGTTCCCAAGTTTCAATTTTTTTCCGGCTCTCTTGCCTCATCAATGAGCTTCATGACTTTTTTATTTTACTTTGAGAACAGTTGTGGAAAATTGTAAGTGTTGTTAAAACAATAAATATTACACAGTCCAAATACATTCATGTTCTCATATCTGAAACCTATGAATGTTACCTTGTATGTTCAAAGAAATTTAGCAAATGTGATTAGATTAAGGATTTTGAGGACAGGAGAGGATCCTGGATTATCTGGGTGAGACAGCAGAATCACAAGGTCCTATAATAGGAAGGGAGGAGGGTAACAGCGAGAGAGCAGCTGGGACTATGGAGAGGGATGCATGAGTAATGGGGGATGAGGCTATAGAACAGACAATGTTGGGGCATCTTGATGAGGAAAAGCAGAAAATCAGATTCTCTTCCTTAGGAACCTCCAGAAGGAATGGAGTCCTACTGACTCCTTAATTTTAGCTCAGTGAGACTTCTGGCCTTTAGAGCTATAGGATAATAGATTTGTGTTGTATCAATCCAGTATTGTTATGGTAATTTGTTTCATCAGCAATAGAAATCGAATGCAAGAGGAAGAGATGGCTTCAATCTTTCTGAGTGCATGGCTGTCCTCTGTTCTCCAAAATATTTCCACCTTGCTATCATTTGCTGTCAATTTTGACAACAGTTGGAGAACACTATATTGTAAGGGGAGGTAGCATCAGAATTCTTCTAAGATAGGGAATCTCTGGGGTCAAATCAATTGATTAGCTCTTGCACAATATGTGTATCTGAGAGCCTAGGGGTCAGCTCCCACAGCAGATGAGAAAGGCCGGGTTGTTTGTTTTCATATTTGGAGGGCAAATTAAATTTGCATGACACAATCTGAGAGGGAAGAATTGAATCAGAGAGATTGGAAGGGAAAGAGGCATTTCAGAGGTCGAGGGAATCAAGATGTGTCCCAGCTCTGAAATCTAAAATAAAGTCATTTGCAGTTTGTAGAGGCTCAGAGAGACTTGTGCCTTGATTAGAAAACTGCAAATAAAGCTAATTTAAGATTAAGGTGAGCACAGCATGAGTCAGAGGCCACAGGGGGCTGTGGATTCCACACTGTCACTTTAGGGTTCTCCCCTTCTCCCTTTTTACAGGCTGTGGGCTCTTCTGTGAGATGAAAGTGGTCACATGGAAGGAACACACTAAGGTCAGATATATGTAGATTGAAATCCCAGCCCAGCCCACGCTGACCATGTGACTGTGCAAACCAACCATGAGCTCTGATAATTGTTTTTTTCAGCTGTGCACTGCAGCCCTGTGAACACCATGAAGTGTCCTGAGAGTTGAATCACATAATTCACTTTGAAATGTGTGTGTGTGTGTGTGTGTGTGTAATACATACATATATATATATACACACACACCACACATATATATATATATCTATATATCCAGTCCCTTTTTATTTTATGCACTCTTGAGTATCATAGAATTAAGAGGCTGTGCAATATGTTAGTAGCCAGATGTTATTTAAAATCAAATTTCTCAAGTTATTCTACAACAAACAGGTGCCTGACTGTAGGCAGTGGGGCTCATTTTGTGTTATTTCCACCATAAAATCTCCCACCAATATTCATGTGTAGCATTTGAAAGATAAGATTACAGTTGACTATAACATCTTTAGTCTGTGTTTTCCCCGAGCCCATTTTGTTAGTGTCCACTCTTGGGTTCCTAAGGCTGTGGCCACAGGTCTGAGTTTTAAGTCCTTTCTTCCCACACTAGAGCCTTTCCTAAGACTTGGTCTGGCCTCCTCCATGCTGGAAATCCAGACCCACCTTCCACTTACCCTCCTCAGAATCCAGAACTAACACTCTGGAAGCCTTTCATTGTAAACCTTCCAAATGCAACTTCTGTCAGGAACCCTGCATCCAGGGTAAAAGTGTAAGAGACCAAAGCCATAGGGCAGGGCCTGGGATCCTAGGCCAGCTCTCCTCAGTCCTGTCCTCACTGATACTGAGTGGCGGGGACCCTGCTAGTGCAAAGGAGGGAGGGTCATCCAACGTCTCCAGAGTCTTTACTCAGCCAGACTCTGTTATAATTAGAAGGAAAGGAAGCACATGCTAAATAAATAAAAGTAAATTATTTGTACCTGTATATATGTATTTGTAACATACTTTACAAATTAAATATATATCTATGATATTTCAGATATAAGTTGTATTAATACATTTGTATATACTGTGCATACATAATAAATATAATATGCCATTTCATGTAAATAAATATAATATTAATTGTTGTTCTAAGGTATGGTTTTAAACTTTGATAAGTTGAGCTTGAACATGAAAAACCAGCAATGGTGCCCACCCCATGGTCTCTTCCCCACTACAGAGCCCAAAGGTCAGGAGGCTCAGAACCCCCCTCATTTCCTTGCTGGGTCAAGCACTGACTCATAGATGGCTTTGGATGCTGAGGTATCCAATGGGAGTCTGGGGAACATGAAGCAGAGGTGCGGAGGAGGTAGGGAGTGGGCCTCGGCTCCTGGTAGAGGGATGTTTTGTGCCCAGAGCTTACTGTGGATTTTTCCTCCCCTGGGCCCCTGATGGACAGAGCAGCACATGTGGCTCATAGAATTAGGTCATGTGTGGCTTATAAGACAGGATTACAGGGGTGATCACAGGACAAAAGCACCCCACGGCTCGTTAGCAGCCTCCCCTCTGATTGGAGCCATATGGAATCTCTCTGCCCAGCTTCTATGACTCACCCAGCTGCTGAGACTCTGTTCAGAATGGGTCATTTCTCCCCCATGCACAAACTTCTGAATACTTGTTATTTTATTGTCTGTTATCCAAGCACCACGATTTGTTGACCATGATCTTTCCAAAAGGATTCATGGAGTGAAGTGAGAACTAAGGTGTCAACACTGTGCCAGGATGTGACAGAAACAAGGATCGCATCCCTGAAGACAAGAGCAGCTCGTGTGTGAGGTGAGGATGAATTGGCCTCATAAATTCAGAGCAGGATGTGAGAGAAAACACACTGACATTCTCCACTCCGTGATGCTCACCAGATGCACTGGAAGTTCCCATACAGAAGGTGGGAAGCGGGTGGGAAGAGAAGGGAGTTTGTGGTTTCAGAGCTGCCTCCCATTCTGCTCCACTGAGAAGGCCCCAGATCTTCAGCAGACCCCAGGCACATGAGCAGCTGGGGTGAGGTTTGTGTACCAGTAATGACAGGAGGAGGGGGCATATGTCCCTGAAGGCAATTTGGATGCTGATAGCCAGAATGACCAGGGCAGGCATGGTCTCCAGGGGGCATCAGGAGCTCAGAACCAGGCCTCAGTTCTGCTGGAGCTGGACTAGGATGCTGTTCATACTCTGGTCAGCCCAGCTGGTGACCCCCCCGACCTGGGACGCAGGGTTAGGGGCTGGAGAGAGGGTCCACACAATGTTGCCACTGGCATCTGAGTGGGGAACAAACATGAACATTCCCAAATATTAATACCAAAGAAGTAGTTCATTCCGTTTGATTAAATTTCAATCAGGAAGCAAAACAGGCTGAAAACAAGTAAATCTTTCTGCTTAATGCAAACAAACTGAGGATGAAGCCGGAGTCCTCCCTCCTCACCAGAGAGTCAGAACAGCAGCAGGAGAAGCAAAGTGAGGCCTCATGTCCAGGAGGGCCTCCTGAGGCTGATCCTGCTCAGGGTGGGTGGGGAGGGTGGATGAGTCTGCAGGGATTTTGACACCAAAATCAATGTGGCTGAATGGCTTAAACCACAGAAATTTATTTCTAACACTTTAGGAGCCTGGAAAGTCCAAGATCAAGGTCCAGAAAGGTTTTCTTTCTGATGAGGACTCTCTTTAATTTGCAGATGCCACCTTCTGGGCATGTCCCAACGTGACTGTCCCTCAGGGCACGCAGGGAGGGTGGGGGAGGGACAGAGTTCTATGGTGTCTCTCTTCATAAGGACGCTAATCCTGTGGTGTCAGGATCCCGCCCTGATCACCTCTTTAACCCTAATTACCTCCTTATAGACTTTCTCTCCATCTGCAACCATACTGGAGGTAAGAGACTCCAAATAGGAAATTGTGAAACCTAGTTCAGTCCATAAGCGGGGGGGTTTGGGGACACAGCCAAGGCGGTAGGGAGGGGCCAGATCAGGCTTCCGGTCTCAGAGCACAGGGATTTCCCATCACTAAACTCACTGGCAGCTCCTCCCAGGCGAACCATGTCACGCAGGAGACCCCAGTCCGGCCTTACGGCTCCGGGTCCCTAAGGGGACATGATCACTTTCACTTCCTCATTACTTTTAAGATGGGGGGGGAGGGGTCTATTTTTTGTTTATTATGGTGTTTGTCTGCCATCTATTGGCCACTTTCTAACATAGCATCTTACAGGATTTTAGATTCTAGGGTCCAATGAGTGTTGACTATAGATGAAATCTTTTCATAGGTATTCATGGAGTTGATCCTATGACATCCATCACTAGGACAGATTTTGTAGAACACATGAAATGGTCCCTCCCCTCAGTAAACCAGTCATCTAGTTGAGGACAAACGGTATGCAGGAAAAATATTTGTCACAAAACAATTAGGGTGGCTAGATTCTGGGATCCATGTGACATGCCAAAGATGTGGTTTTGGAAAAAAGAGTGGATTGTCAAGAACCCTGTAGGGCATAATGGCAGGGAGCGG